TCTAAGTGTTTGCTATCTTTTGCAGATCTTTGCTAACATAGTTAACTCGAAAGAGGATGTCATAAAAGGACAGTCTTCTGCAAGTATGTTCATGTCCTCTCCGTGAAGCAACTAGGTGAAACAAGATGGGAATGCTGTGTTCAAAGTGTAAAGGTTGTTCGATATCAAACTGTCCATGTCTATGATGCTCTTGTTGAGATTTCTGAGACAGTGAAAGATCCTCCAACAAGAAGTGAAGCAGAATTTCTTTGAATGGAGTTGAAGAACTTCAAGTTCATCGTTGCTGTCATATACATTTCGGGTGTTCAAGCGTGACTTCTACAGATGAATTCAAGAGCATTCTTTACTCCATGTGCATGTCATAACTACAACCTGTTGCTTGGTGGCACAGCAAAAATATGCCATCAAGCTATCTCATTTTTTCGGGGTAATTCAACACTTATATGATTTATTTTCTGGTTCAACTCACTGACCAGTGTGTGTGTTTTCATATAGCAAAGCCACATTGGGCTATCTGCTGTATCCACCGAGGGGAATCGAACCCTTGATGTTAGCGTTGTAAATTCAAAGTCTTATCACTGTTCCATCAGGGGAAAAAGCATGTCAGTAGAGCTGTAGACAATCAAATTCATGATCACTACCTTGGGAAGTGAATTCAAAATGAACTTAAATCAATTATGGGTAACAAAGTGAGGACAGCTATTGTAGAATTTCTCTGTGAAACTAGACTGTACACCAGACATCAGTCAGAAAGAGCAAAGATCATTAACTCTCTGATATATCTCAGATGGATCATCACATGTTTCAAGTAGAATTTTCAAGCACTTCATAAAGTTTATTGAAGTCGCAGAAAGTACAGGGGAAACTTATTAGAAGTTTTACTGAAAGAACTCAAAGAACTGGGCTTGGAAGTTGATGACATTTGTGGACAAGGTTATGACAATGGTGCTAACATGAGAGAAACATGTTCTTACATGATTGAATTGAATTTTTTCAAATAATTCTACAAACCCCCAAAATTCCCATTGTAAAAGGGATAAAGTCTATTATAAGATCCTTGAAATGCCATGTTGTGTTCAGAAGACAATCAAAAACGTTTCTCCAGTGAAGTTTTTCAGAGTTGATGATAGCATTCTGGTTCAGTTGATCAATTGTGCATTTTTTGTTTAATCTTTGCTCAAATTCCATCCATTGTAGAGTAGCTGTCAAGTGTTCCTGTGATCTCTCATGTTCAGACAGGAACAAATGTCTTTGTTCCAAATACATTTCTGGCCTATTACGGCTTTAGAATCTATGGGGCTTTTGAGAATGGTTCAGGTACAGATGCTCTTCTAAACCGTCACTGAACCAATATGCCCAAGTTTGCGATGAGGTAATAAAAAAATAAAATGACTGGTGTTATGCAATTCAAAAAAATTAGGTGTTAATCTTCACAGATAGGTGTTTCCTGTCTAGAATCAAGAAGTTAACAGCAAATAGGGAAATGAAAAACAATTACTACTTTGTTGAATTTGTTTTTTCTTCCTTGCTTGTTTTAGATCATAGACCTTTACAGAAATCTTTAGCATAATACCCCCTGGTGTACAGTTTATTCTCCAAAAATTAAGTTAATTTTTCCTTCCTGCAGCTCATCTAAACATTGCTGAAAAATTAGGAGTTAATTGAGCACTTTTTGAGCATAGTAAAAATGAAAGAACATATAGTGCTGTTGAACCAGAGAGAATGGAAAACTAAAAGTAATATCAGACAGTTTTAGAATTTAGTGGAAATTACAAAACATTCCCAAGTACTTAATAGAACCAGAGAGAGGTAAAAATTAACTGATATTGGTCACTTTTAGGGACTAGTAAAAAATTATAAAGATTCCAAAGTTATGTCGCAAAACCAGCTTGACCTACAAATTCATGGCAAAAATGGTATTCAAAATATTACTATAATCTGTGATAGTAATAACAGTAGTATTTTTGGTATAACACCAAAACAAACTACTGTTTTTAGTTTAGATAAAATATACACAAAAAAGTCTGGGCCAGTCTTCTAGAAACAGAACACAGTACAAAAAAAGTGTGTGTGTGTATATATATATATATATAAATCTTATACCAAATAAAGAATCACAGTTTTAGCTGTAACATCTGCATTTACATGTTCAACCTTATTAATGAACTATAAACCAGCACATCAACTATTTCGGTGCTCTTTAGATGTGTTTCCAACACACTGTAACCATTGTAGATATTTATAACTTTTTGTTAAAAACAAGGCCTGCCTTCCTTTTGGAAGACTCATCATATGTTTATAAGGAAAGTTACACATAATTTGTTGAAATTAGGTCTATCGTTCCTCTTGGATGAGACATCACATTTATTAGGGTGTGACAAGAGTGACACAGTTTGTAGATAAAAAACTAGGCCTATCATTCTTTTTGGAAGAGTTGTAATATTTATGTATGTAATGACTATGAAACTTGTAATTTATATTAAAAAACATTCCTTCCAAAATACTCCAGTTTATAAGTTTCAAGTGAAAACTGTAACATTCACTTTGAAGCTGGATACTTTACATATTATTATATATCAGGTCATGACTTTGATCTCCATTTTTATTTTAAAAACTCCTGCAGTTTTTTAGGTTTCCATTTAAAAGCTTAACATTCATTTCTAAACTAGATACAATATAGATTTAAGTATAGAACTTTGGCTTTAATCTTCAAGCTAGAGACTGTATAGTTATATAGGTTTCAGGTCACAACTATGGCTTTCACCTACAATCTAAATACTATATAGTTTTGTATATTTCAGGTCATAACTTTGACTTTTAAGCTAGAAATTTACAGTTTTTTAGATTTTAGATCACAACCATGGATTTTGTTTAAAGTCATGAGTGCAAGACTGAGAAAGGTGCTGTTGATTTGAGGCATTATGGGATATGTTTTGAAATGATCCCTTATAATTTAAAGTTTTTTGGAGGGGTGGTATTAATGTTCATTACATAGGTAAGCATCAAGTACTGAAGAATGAGAGTCAAGAAATAAGTTCTTTCTTATTTAATCACTTCAGTAGGCTTGTACCCATGGATTTCAAGCTAGAGACTATACGTTGATTCCAGCTCGTGACCATAACCTTTGCCTTAATGCTAGAGATTAATCAGTTTGATATCAGATCCTTATTCTGTTAAGCTAGAAATCTTACAGCCTTTCCAAAAGTCAGGATTTTGACTTCTACATGAAGCTAGAAACCCACAGATTTCACATCAGAACCTTCACATTCATCTGAAAACTATATACATGTAATTACTAAAGGTGTGGCGATACAGTAATATGGTATGAGGATTGTATCGTGAAACTGTGATATGATTGTATCGATACTTTGTCTGATACGCTACGATTTACGTATCTTCATGAAATTTGGCAAGCTTACAGTAAATATTATGTCTTTTGTACAGAACAAATCAGAAATTCTAATAAATATTTTTGCTAAAAATTAATGATTCAATAAAGGAAGATGAGTATTGAGTACTACACGTTGTCTTCATTTCTTTTATCAAAAACATTACATGCAAAGTAACATAACAAATCAACAATAGCAAAATAGATAGACAGATATTAACTTCTCTTGCCAGCTGCCATTTAACTGATCAATCCTGAGAATTTGAAAAATCACTGTAAAGTGTGAAGTACTTAAATAAGATAGTGTTAGTAACATAGATAATAAATTACAGACAAGACTGTCAAACTTTGTAACAAACCGTTGGTAAAACTTCTGTATCTAGATACGTATCATATCGACTACTATGATGAGATATGCATCCCTGGTAATTACCTCAAACACTGAAGGTGACGGAAGTTTTTCACCCTTTTGTATGTGTTTTTCAGCAAGATTTCTCGAAATGGCTCAATGGATTTGGATGAAAGTTGGTATACATTTGGACTGTGACCCAACTTAGAAGTGATTAATAATGGCTGGAGACGGCTTGAGTGGGTAATGAAGAAAAACTTTAATATAAGTTTAACATAAAGTGGGTTCCTCGTCATCGAATTAGAAGTGATTAGTTTTTGGAGAGCCAAGGTCACAAAAATAAAAACCTCTGTTAACATGGAGACCGATTTTTCACACTATTTTTGCTCTATAACTCAGTCAAAAAGTATTGTATTTTGATGAAACTTGGTGGATATATGTAGAACATTATTCCTCATTGCCCTGCCAAAAATAGTCCATGTTAGTTCATAACGGCAGACATACAGACACATTTTTGTACTTTTTTTTAGAGCCAAATATGATCAACGCTGTGTGGTGGCGGTATGCGCTCTATTGAGTGTCCCTCTAGTTTTATATGAGATCACACTATTGACCTCCATAAATCTAGAGACACTATGCTTTATTCTGATATGGATACAGAATTGAAGAACAAAAGTACATTTGATTAACAGAGAGATACAACTGAACGTAATACAAATATACAGCTTCAGTGAAATGTATAACAATAGAGACAAAGAATTCTAGAAAAGTTGAATTCCCCAAACATAGTTAAGTCAGTTAAAACTTTTACCACAAAACATGATACCAATACTAAAGATTTCTTTAATAAACCTGTGTACAATTCCTCCTTAATATATACTGATGGACTTGGAAAAAATGAAGTACAAACGTTATTGTAAAAAAGGAGAATTTTTACAAATTGTATTATTCCCTTCATATGCTAAACTGAAATGTTTGCATTCTGAGATATTTGTATGTAATTTAAAATTGTTAAATTTAAATGCAGAAGACCAAACTTGTATAATCCTAAACTTGAACCCAAACTTGTATAATGTTTTGTAAAAACTTTGGCCATGAGAGGATCTACCAATTGTATTGAAGCTTAAACCATACTTATTAAATTTAATGAAGTAACACTACCAAGGAAAAAATTATAAACTTGTATGTTAACAGATGATTTAGAAATAATCAGAAATTTAAGTATTTTATGAAGTTTAATTTTCTCATCTCATTATCTTTCAGTGCACGTTCCATCATGACAGCTTTCAAGAATCATGCCGAGTATAGAGTAGTTAAATACAATGTCTTTCACCATTCTCGTGAAATCAAAGTACTTTTATGGTGAGTTTGATATATTGAAACATTCTACAGCTGTTTGGGTAAGTTTTGTCTTGGTAAATCATGTTCAGTTAGAAGGAAGCATTATTCAGCTATTGAGGTAGGTTATGTTTTGGTAAGTCATGTTCAGGATGAAACATTATCCAGCTGTTATGGTATATTGCTATGGTAGTGGCAGGAGTTAACCCTCTATTGCATACACTATGAAAATACTGTGGAAAAAATGTTTTATTTAAATTTCTTACTTAAACAAGTCTATATTACACACACAAGTTTTTGTGAAATATATTTTGGTAAGTTATAAATGTGTACATTACCTAGAAGTAACATTGTTCAATTGAGGAACCAACAAAAATAATTCCATGGTTTATTTAAACAGTTACCTGGAAGTAAGAGTATTTTCAATGATATTATTGAAGCATTTGTATGTGTGTTTAGCAACAAAATAAGATTTGTTACCTGTATATTACAATGTGCATTAAAGGGTTAATGTGATGAAGAACTATCCAATGATTAATTAATATGGTAGTTTTCAGAGCTAATATGATGGAAAATAGGCAAGGAATTTGATGATATGGTAGGAAAATTGGCAAGGAATTTGATGATATGGTAGGAAAATAGGCAAGGAATTTGATGATATGGTAGGAAAATTGGCAAGGAATTTGATGATATGGTAATTTTGTTAGGGTTTAATATGAATTTTTTTGTGGAGTGGATTGTTATTGTAACTTGGGTATTAAAAAACACATTGGGTTTCGTAAGATATAGTGGTCAGGGTGTGGTATATTATATAACTAACAGTGCATTAGCTATGGCTACTAGTGTTTTCGATTGTATATTGTAGAAACTTATTCAGCAACGCCCTTTGCTAAATTGTACTTTCCCCTAAAAGTTCATGGTATATATTTATTTACATAAACCAAAATCAATAATAATAATAACCATCCACTGTGCCTTTGAAAAACCGTTATTGTTTTGGTTGGTATCACTTTCTTCGTTTTCAGATATCATTGTTCAGTCTTGTGGTTCATCAAACTATTGTTGTCTGTTGAATCAGACGGAAGGCTTCGTCGACACTGGATATGACAGATACAGTGTGGTTGATATATTGTAATACATTCTTCTTTGTTTTCACTCGCAAGTTCTTGGACCACGTGTATCTATTTATCTAATATGTTTCATTTAGAACGTTATTGCAATACTAATTAAAGAGAATAATGATTCAACTGTTTCTGTCTAGGAGTGCTTTCTTTATCTCGGGAGGAGTCACTTTTTACCTGCTTTTCAAAGTATGTCGTCATTCCTGAAGCTACTATTGCTCTAGTCCCGTGACCCAGAACAGCAACGTCCTCTGAAGATGTGAAGGGTATCGTATTCTTAAGCGTATACGACACATACAGGCTTTATTGTTTTAAGGGGAAAAAAAAGGATTTAGATTAAATTGTATCCATATTTTTTACTATGCTGTTGAGAATTAGAAGCATTTTTATTTTTAAGGTGATCCTTTACTGTTTCATTTGCTTTTTCGTATTCATTGAAATGTTTGCGGCACTAATTGGTTCAGTTTGTGTATTTGACTTGACACGTTTTTGTTATTTTTGTATAAGTAAACATCTAAAGGTCTTTTCATCAATCACAAATGTATTTCAAAGTGTAATAAGGTGAAATTTCGCGACTGTTTACATATTTTTAGAGTATCAGAAGTCTATTTCAAAGTATTTCTTGTTTAGGATAAGAATAAGCTACGTGATATAGAATAAGAATGAAATGTTTTTTGTACAGAAGGATCACTTGTATATGTTACGCGGGATAGCACATGCTAGAGGTAGATCAAAATTAGTCATTTTTTCCATAAAAAGATAAGTTGTATTTCTTATGGGGTTTAGTGTAAAGTGAGCTTTAAAAAGATTTTGATAATAAGTGTACACTCCTAAAATAATATTCCTATATGTAAATGTACTTCAATAACGATTAAATAACCTGAAAGAAGTGACGGCTAATTTTTTGTGTAACCTTAAAGTTCGGTTTGTGTGTGTTGATGTAGATGTGATTGTTTTATATAAATGGATTGATTTCAGTTAGCACTGCCTTTCGGTCTTTTTTTTTTTTTTCACATTGATGGTTTGCCAGAAAGTCACAACTATTCACCTAACTAATAATATTATTTTAAATACATTTTAGCCGGAGTTTGTTGAAAAGGAATATTCAACAGATTTTAGAAGTAAAAAAGCTATAAACTGCAAAACACTCAAACAATGTGCCTTTGAAGTTGCCGAAATAACGGCAACCGAAAGTCTGTGTATAATTTGATGAAATTTTAATTAGAATTTTAAACATGATTATATAGTTTTAAAGACCTTGTGTGGTTAATGAGAGCGAAATTAAGACATTGAGGATACCCCCCATTCTTGTACAAAAGTCTAAAAAACTTCGAATGTAAATTGTTCTTTTATATTATTACGTTAATATACCATAATAAACTACAAATGTACCATTGGCCCAGCATGGCCAGGTGGTTAGGGCACTCGACT